CTGTGTGTCCTCAGTTCCCCCCTTGGCACCCTGAGACACCCCTGGTGTCTCCAATGTCCCCAACGCCCCCCCATAGCCCCAGTTCCCCCCTTGACATCCCAATTCCACTCTCCCCAAACCTTATCCCTGATGTCCCCAACCTCCCCCCAGAAGGCTCCTCTGGACTCTCTGACCCCAAAAATGTCCCCCCACGCTCACAGAAAGCCCAAGGGCATCTGGGGACATGTTGGGGACACTTGGGGGGCTTTGGGGCGCACTGGGTGATTACTGGGGGATACTGGGACATACTGGGGGGAACTAGAGGACATTCGGAGGGACTGGGGCATTACTGGGGGACAGTGGGAGGGACTGGGGAGTTCCTGGGGGATTACCAGGACATGTGAGGACACTGGGAGGTTACTGAGCACTTCTAGGGTTACTGGGTGCTCACTGGAGGATCACTGGGCCATACTGAGGGGCATTGGGAGGTCACTGGGCTATACTGGGGGAACTGGGCCCCCCTTACCCAAATGTGGTACATCGACCCCCCAGACTTGGGGGGGGCACGCCCAGGATCCTTCCCCTGGGGGCTGGGGACCCCCTCAACCGAACTGCCGGGCTTTAGGGGACCCTGACACCCCTCCCCATGGCGTCTCTGTGTGTTCGGGGGTCTCTGGGGCTCGGCGGGGGCGGATTCCGATCCCCTTTTCCTGCGGCAGGGGGCGCTGTGGTGGGAGGGGGAATGGCGGATCGCACTGCAGCCAGGGCGGGAAGACACACACCACACCCCACCCTTCCCCCCACCGAACGCGATCAAATGCCCCGTGCTCTGCTGCTCAGGAGCCCCTGAGCCCCCCCACCCACAGCCGCGCTCCCCGCAGTACCGAGGGGATCCCCAGAACCCCGCTCTCGCCGCAGACCCCGCCAGATCTCGCAACGCTGCGCAGCGTCCTCCTCCCCCGCTCCCCCGCTGCCGCCATGGCGCCCTTCCCGCGCTCCGCCTCCACATGACCCACCGCAGCCAATCAGCAACCCCCGATCCCCACGGCCCCGCCCCCCGCGGGGCACCACGGGAGTTGTAGTCCCGCACAGTCTCCTCGCCTCATGGCGGGGCTGTTCGGCCACCGGAGAGAAACACGGGCTGGTCCCGCAGAGCGGGCCGAGTGGGTTCCACTCTGGCAAACAGCGCTCTCTCGATCGGAAATCCTCATTAACTGAATGCAGCTGCTGCTGCTTTAACTTGTTCCCACAAAAATTCTCCGGGTTCCTTTGGTTCCAGGAGGCCCCATATGCCCCAATGGCCCCTTGATTCCATGGGGTTCCAGACTGCCTCAGGAATCCTTTCGTTCCAGGAGGTTCCGCATATCCCAGTGCCCCCTTGGTTCCAGGAGGATGCACAGTCTCAGAATTCCTTGGCTTCAATGAGGCTTTGTAGTGTCCCAATGACCCCTTGATTCCATGAGCTTCCACAGTCTCCACCTGGGCTGCAGGTGACCCCATAAGAACACTCTTCAGGTGCATTTACAACCAGGGAGGAAGAAAACAGATAGGAAGTCTCTATTTTTATTAAACTCTCTCCTTGTTTTTCCACCTGGAAGTACTTGGGGCTGCCCCCACTGGCACTGCAAGCACTGTAAGAGCAGAGCAGAGCAGGCACTGGGGCTCTGGATTTCCAAAGGTTTAAGATTTTTGAGGTCTTGACACCTGTCCAGTTGTCTCCCAAAGCATCCACTACATGAGAGGTGCTCAGGGCTCTGGGAAAAGATGATTTCCCCTTTAAACAGCCT